TTTACCATGATCATTGTTATTATTGCTGTTGTTAGCTTGTTCTTGTTACAAGCCTGCAGAGATGACAGGTTAAAATAGCAACAGTTTTGCAACTTAACTTAATAGTAGAGAAATTAGGGTACATTATAATTACTGTCCTTTTTAACAGAGAAGCACTAATAGATCTATTTTTAAATAGCTTATTTCAGATAGTGTATTCTCATTCATATCTGTCAAACTAGCTGACTTCTCCGAATAAACCTGATTTTCTTATTTTTAATCTCCTGTTCACTTGCAGAGTCAATATGGTTCAAAGAGCACTAGAATCTGTTCTCAGCAACAGAATTTTTTATAAATGATCATTCTGTTACAGCTGTCCAAATGCATGGACAGTAGTAGGTTTGTATAAAAGTTACCAAAATGCAATGAGAGAGCGAGTTGCATAGATATAACTGAAATTCTAGTTTTAGCCAGCAGCGTGTATAATTTCTAGTGCCACTGTAAACTAGAAAAAAATCCAACCTTACTTAGCACGGCCTGAATTTAAGGGATTCGTTTGGAGAAGCAAACAGCATTATTGCTGTTACCTAAGCACCTTTGGTCTTGTATAAAGACATAAATAACAGGCCAAACTCTATTAACCAGTTGAAGCATACATGCCAAGATGCCAATCCATTGTACTCATACTTGTGACATGTTCTTGCAGCAGTTGACTAAAAGACCACATTACTCTGTTCATTCAAGGAACAAAGGTCATGGCAGAAACTAGAAAGAAATCTTGATATGTCTTCATGAATCTGCATGTTTCAACTGAGACTATTTCAGGAAGAGAGTTTTCTCATCACCCAGAAAAGGGAGACAAGATATATAAGCTACAAGGCTTTTTGAGGGCAGTTAAGCCTTCTCTTCTGTGTTTCAGGTTGCAGAACACCAGGGGGAGTAATTCCTCTTTGTACAGGTCCGAGTTACAAAACGGCAAGCTAGAGAAGACACAGTGATTTCCCATCAGCTCAGCGCAGCCCTTTCAGTAACACAGAAGTGGAACAGCTTCATCCACAGAGCACGATCTTGAATGCCACAATGTAAATTCGGAGGGAGGTGCCATTTTTTCCATACAGATTTGAAAAGTGAAGGATTAGGCTAGCTTTTTAGTAGGACACGAGGTTTGCTCTTCCATGCTGTCTTTTAATGGTATCCAGAGATTCAAATTTACATATGATCTACAATCCTTAGGATGCTCGATACTCATGAATAGTTGCTAGCACAGAATACATGTGAACAGCTCATTGCATTGCTCCCTCTAGCATCAGCTGCTTTCAGGGAAGAGAAAGAATCCGTTTTGTCCTGAACCCAAATCTATTGCTTAGTTGCACCTGTATGTGTAAGAGCTGTGTAGTTGACTGCTGAGAAAGTGTGCCAAAGGCAGGATGGACTCAAGCTGATTACCTTCACTTAGACTAGCCCCCAGGTAGATTCGTTGGCTGGAATCCCTGACCAAAGAAGATCCAGTGGTAGGGACAGCTCTACCTTTGTTTCCTTATTAAAGTTAAGTTCCTTGGTGTTGCTCATCATTTCCCACCACACTCAGAGGTTTCATTCAGCTTAATAACATGTAAATTGTCTGGGACTAAGCAACCTACAGCAGCTTCTTTCTTTCTAGATAGTCCCAGGTGCTGAATATATTTGTACTAAACAGACAGATTCTTTCAGCTCTCCTTCAGTAGCATTAAGCAGCTTGTGCTCCCTCAACTAACCCTAATATAGTGCTGTCAAAGTATGCACTAAGATTAAATCCTTGAATTTTAAAAAATAAACAAATAAACAAAAAAATAGGGACTGCAAGCCATATCATCTGCACATGCACTGAGGATACTTGGGTACCAAACATAGAAATCACTGTGTTGGGCATACTGTCACTGAGCCTTTCCTCAACATCATTTCAGGCATGAGTGCAAAAACCTTAGCTTATGTGCTTGTCTTTGAATACTCTGGGTGAGCAGGGCCTGCTTTTGACATAAACATGCCATGGCTTAGTGAAGCAGGGGGTGCACAGACATGTAGCTCCTGGCTGAGAATTTCACTTGTTGCTGTTGAAGCAGCATAGGTGTGAACTTGCTTGCCTGATGTGCTCTTTGGCAGCATGATACATTAACTCACATACTGGTGCAGACCCAACTGTCTGTCTGGGAGACTGTCCAGCAACAGATACCAAAAAGGCAGGTGCAAGGAACCTCATCAGGAATAATTATAAACCAGCTTGCCTTGAGGTGAAGTTTCTTCCTGTTTCCACATAGTGAAAAGTTGGTGTTCAAGCAGAAGAGCTATTAGTCTTTGCAATATATTCTTTCCAACTGTAGGTATGACTTTTCTGATTTTTCATACAAATGTCTAATGCCCTCATGAAGGTCTACGCATTGATATCTGTGCATTTAAATTACTCAGACTTCTTATGCACTGCATATTATAGATACCATATGGAATAAATGTGGGCAATAACTTGTTAATCTCCCATTGCTTCTCTGGCAAAGAATATGGCTCTGTAAGACTTTTTTGCATTGTTTCTCACTCTTCTGGTGAAGGACAGATATCAGGTGCCTAGATGAGTCCCACTCCTTTCCCTCCCGATTCTCATCCCTACCTGTTAAGGGTGCTCATACACTGTAGGACATCCCAGACATCTGTGGAAACAGAATGTAGGATTTCTGCTTTCACATAAGATTGAAAAAAGTGAGATCAGGATATTTCTAATGCTTTTGCCATGACTGCCTTTCCTTCATGCTTGCAGAATTGAGGACTGACATGATGACAAATAACACAGGATGCATTGCTACATGAAAGCCTTTACATCCCAAATTATGGAAGAAGTACTCTGAAAATAGGGAACACCCTGGAAATAAAGAGAACAGGGAGACTTCTTACAGAAAACAGTTACCCTTTTGCACTCCATCTGTGACCCCAAGCCTGTCACTGTGCAGTTCTAGCCACAGCCAGGACATCTTGACACTTGACCCCTTGGAACTATCATAGGGACATTTCAGCCTAGCCTTAGAACAGGAGGAAGAAGAGATCTATGATGTCCAATCAGTACTTGTCTGCCTTGGTATAGTGAGTAAATCCCTTTCCTCCGACTGTGAAAACAACTTTGCCATAGATTTCATATGCAAAAGTAAATGTCCTACTGCCTGAACTACCCCCAAGCAGTTCATTTCACTGCAGCTCCTCATAAGGGACTATTAAACCTCATTGTCATTAGTATGAGATTCAGACAAGGCTCCCATCGCATGAAGAGAGAGAATGTATTTTCTGCATATGAGTTTCCACTAGGCTGAAAAGAATAGGATTTTAACTAGATCACTAATTTCTCCACTAATCTTGACCACCCAAGGCATGGAAAACATAGCCTGCTGTCTTTCCTCAAATGTCCCTCAGAACTTCTAGAATACACTCATATATGAATATGTATACATGCATTGTTGTCCTCTGGTGAATACATATGGAAAGTGCTACAGACCACAGATTCCCCTCAACATCTCAATATGCTTTCTGAAGAGGACACCACTTGTTCAGTCTCAGATGCTGTAGGTGGAGCTGACAGTCAGTCAGCATACATGTAACTGGATTTGTAAGTATTGTAAGTTTTTAGAAACCGCTTAAAAAGCAACAGACTCAAATTTTCTAGGGTAGGACTCACTCTAGTCTGATGTGGTTGGTTTTTTTTTTTAATCTTCACACTCTCTTTGTACTGCTGTGAATATTTTATTCTTGTTTCCTTGTATTGTTTTTGTATTAACTTTTTTATATCTTGAAAGAATGCACTGCTATTCTCCCGCTTCAACTAAAAAAAATTAACAATAATGTTGCTCTAATGGTGTAATAAAGAGTCTGAACTGCGTTGGCTATTCTAGTCCTACTATTCTGGAGCACCTCCTATTGTATTATGGGACTCTTCAATAAATATTAAACGTGGCTTCTCAGTCTTCAATTGCTGGGTTGACTGGGGGAATCCTTAAATCCATACAAGAGTAGTATCTGCAGAAGTCACGCTATTCTAGCCTTGACAGCTGGAGAAATAAAGTAAGTTCATGACTAGTTCACAGTGAGCCAACAGATGGGCACGGATTGGAACAGCTAGGGCTACTTCCTCTCCAGACACAAAGAAGGTATCTTTTTTATTTAATGTCTTCATTGGGGTCTTGCTTAACAAGGCCATTTCCATTTCCCTTCCTATGTGTTGGGGAGATGGACAAGTGTATAGTTCACGAGTTTTCCTCTCGTTTTTCCTCAGCTTCATGTTTTCATACTCCTGCATAGGGATATATACAGAGATACAGTTCTGAAACTCTGCTCCTCCTCGAAGCAGGTCTTTCCTTAAGCAGGTACTAGTCTGTCTGAAGGGAGACATAAGCTCTGTCATTCTGGTCACTCTCATGCACCTCTACCAGACTACACGGTTGATCCCAAGGATATTGTTACTCCCTTTTTAAGGACTGAAGTGACTTGTGGGACTGGTACCCTTCCCTGATCACTCTTGACAAGAACTTGTGAGAGTTTCACTTCCCTTGTTCCAATTGTCTATTTGAAGTTGACTACTGCAGGTCTGCATTTTCTTCAGAAACAATATTCAACCAGCTGTGCCCATTGATGTAGCTGGTTAGGGTGAGAAAAAGAGCAAGTATTTTTCAACAGCAAAGGGCTTCAGATTTTTTTGTCACGCTCTTCAATGTCTGTAAGGGAATCAGACGAGAACAAAACCCAAATTCTGGGTGCTCAGGATTTCAGAATACCGGAATATTATGCCTTTCCTCTCAAGAATGGGCTTGTGAGGACCAGAACCTATTTGTTTCCCTCTCCACTTGCAGATCCAGCAGGATAGATTCTAGGAATCCTTATTGTTCCATTGAGTTGCAGTCCCATAAATAGAGCTGTGTAGCACCAAGGACTTGCTGTTCCTTGCATCAGCACAAAGGATTAGTAAGTTTCCCTCATGGATCATGGAGCAGACCCAAGAACTGCACATGAAATAGCATAGAATTTTGAGCCCTTTACTCTCAACCTCTTTACCAGGTGACATGTCTTATTGCTTAGCACATATTGTGCCCTAACTGGCACTTGAGTTCCGGAGCAAGCTGGCATATCAAGTGATAGCCTGATGCTCATCTCCATCTGAGTAATAATCTCTCATACCATGATGGCATTCTTTTGGAAAAAAATGGTAATTTTTTGTTGCCTTTATTATGTCTTTGCTGGGATCCCAGCCACAGATAAAGCCTGCTGACAGCTTTGTAAAGTTGTCTGATACCTTTTGTTGGCAGAGAAGAGGCAACGGGTGCTTGTGATCTGTCCAAGCTATTATTCCATCTCCTCCCCATGTTATCGTAACTTTCCCTCCCACAACCCATTCTCAATGTATGATGTCAGCCACATTTAAATGCCACCAGTTATTCAGCTCTGTTTTCAAATCATGGCAAATTTTTGGTTTTGTTCATGGAACAGGACATGTAGCGTGCACTGTCCGGGTGCATTAAGTCTTCAAGTAGCATACTGACATCTCTTTTTCTTACAGTGAAAATCCCTCTGAATTCCCCCAGAACCTTTCCAGAGTTTGAGACTAGTGGAATAAGGATGGTGTAAACATCACACTTCAACTGGTTCAAGCTGATTCAAATGGACTCGCATGAGCTGGATGCTGTTTAGAATCTTTTTCTGGTGACCAACAAGGGTGATGCCAATACGCTGGATATCTCTGCAAGAGAATAGAGGATGTGGAAGGTGTTAAAATGGGCTTCTTGTTCTGAACGGTCCCAGTCCATTTCCCAGTAGATCCAAATCAATGTGTATGGATATATGTATATGTGTATCTTTGAGAAACAGCTGACAAGGCTTCTGCTTTTGCTTGGCAAATGTGGGTGGGTGGAGGGGGTGTCAGCAGAACTTGGTAGGTTATGATACAAAAAGAAGCAGTGGAAGTGGGCCATAAAAATGATCAGAGGGCTGCAACACCTCTCCTATGAAGAAAGGCTGAGAGAGTTGGGGTTGTTCAGCCTAGAGAAGAGAAGGCTTCGGGGAGATCTTATTGTGGCCTTTCAATATATAAAGGGGGGCTTACAAGAAAGTTGGAAAGAGACTTTTTACCAGGGCCTGTAGTGACAGGGCAAGGGACAACGGTTTTAAACTGAAAGATACAGACTGGATATAAGGAAGGGTAGTGAGACACTGGAGCAGGTTGCCCAGAGAAGTTGTGGATGCCCCATCCCTGGAAGTGTTCAAAGTCAGGTTGGACAGGGCTTTGAGCAACCTGATCTACTGAAAGATGTTCCTGCTCATGGCAGGGGGGTTGGACTAGACGATCTTTAAAGGCCCCTTCCAACCCAAAACATTCTATGATTCTAAGAATGTTCCTTTTCCTGGCTCCTGTCTTCTACATAACACTTCAACCCAGTATATGGTATGGCTGGTTCTACACACCCCCTTAAAAGTGGGTATTACCTGTGGCAGCTGTTATGAACGTTCTGATGTAACAGTCTCTCTGCAACACTTGACAATATGTTTTGTAGTGTACACGGCATCAGTATTAGTGCTTATACAAATAGATTACAAATGTACAGTGGTATGGAGGGTGTCAAGAGGCCCTAATAAGATGTAAGAAACAGTAGCTACTTTACTCTGGCTTCCCTCTCCTTTTTCATGTGTATGTATTCTCCATATAGCCCTTACTACATATTTCTCAGAGTACTTTCACTTTCTCCATGGAAAAATCAGTGTCTGGTATCTTCTGCTCTCTGCCCCTCTACTTACTCGAGAGTCATGCGTGATATGACATCAAATGTAATCAGACCAGCCTGGTCAAAATTCTCCTTGTAACGGCCCATCTTGATAGCATCCAACCACTCATGGGCATTGCTGAGTGAAGGGAAATCTGGAGGACAGTTGCTCAGGAGAGGCTGAGATGGTCTGCAAAAGAGGCAGGTTCTAAAAATCCAAGTTATCAACATCAGCTGACCACACTAGTAAGGTCAGAGTTATGAGAGGGAGAGAATGCAATCTCTGTAGAGCACAGAATGGAGCAGAACAATGATATTTGTTCTTCATGCCCCAATTCCTAAAGTCCCACCTTGATGCCCTGTTTCTAGAGTACCTGCGTTCCCTTTTCTGCCTGAAAACAATCAACCCAACCCAAGAAATTGATTCTTCCTTCCCATTTTATACTTTCTCAGGCACATTCTATTCTTGTTGCCCCAGATCTTTCCACATTTTCTGGGTCTAGACCATTAGCTGGGCAAAGAGTTGCAGTGAGGAGGTTTCTGAGGCACAGAGATGAGACCTTATAACTTTTTACCTTTGTGACTAACTCTCCCTCTCCTAGATGCACTCCTTGGATCAGAAAGTAACCTATGAGACAATGAGTGTGTTGTTTCAGCTCCAACACTCATCAGAAAAAAGCATAGCAGTAAAAAGAAATGACTATTTATACATGGCATTTGCTCTTTTCCCTGTCATCTGAATCTGTCCCAAAGCTGTAACACTAAACTGGGCATGACTAGGCACTTTCCCCCTCCCCCAGCTATGGAGTACATCGCAGTGAGACAAGGTTTATAATCACGGGAAAAAACCTTATAGGCCAGCAGGATGTAATTCTGTCATCAGCGCAACAGCCATCTTAATCTTGGTGCCATTTACCCCCTGTGAGACTTCTCCTTCACTGACCTCATGCCTCTGGTTCCACCAGGCTGCAAAATGCAGTTGGTAAAATATGGCATGCAAGCTGCAGTTCTAATTAGTTTTAGGCTACAGATTTCTTTCCCTCCATAAGTTAAGGTCTTCTCTTCCTTCATCACCTCTTGTGTGACACTACTGTGTGATCACAGAATACCTCGTGTAGCTGCACCCAGATGTTTCCCTCCCTTCATTCCCTAAGATCCCTCACTCATGTTCATCCTCAGTGCACCTCATCAAGAGATTTATCTCCCCTCACATTCAGCACTCTTAACTCTTCATCACCCATTAAGTGAATCAGGATATACAGTTCTTCTAATCCTCTCCCCCATTTTTTTTTCCCTTCCTATTTGGTCCTAGTCTTACTCGAGAGGGCTGGAAAAAATACTATACAGCTTGATTTACTGCTTTCTTTTCCTCATGATGTCTACCCAGAGAAAAGCCCTATTATTTTGCACTAAATCCTCATCTCACCTGCTGCTCCCAGTGCCAGTGGCTTTGAGGGCAGATGGCTTGCGGATCATTTTATCTAGGGCACTGACTATTTGCTCAAATTTGGGTCTCTGGATTCGCTCCTTCTGCCAGCAGTCAAGCATCAGCAGGTGCAAAACAGTTGGGCAGTCCGGGGGTGGTGGCAGGCGATAGTCCTGGTCAATGGCATTAATTACCTGCAGAAAAAAAAGAACAAAGCTTTATCACAGCTGGGAAAATAAAAGACAAACAAGCTTCAATCACTTGGTGGTATATGACTTTCTTCTACTTGAATTAATACAGGACAGAGAGGCAGATGTACGTTCTCACCACTGCTAAAACTTACATCCTGATTGGACATGTCCCAGTAAGGCCTCTCACCATAGGACATCACCTCCCACATGACAATGCCATAGCTCCAGACATCACTGGAGGAGGTGAACTTGCGATACTGGACAGCTTCAGGGGCAGTCCAACGGATGGGGATTTTGCAGCCCTAGAAAGCAGTCAGAGAGGAACCAGAATGTTAGTGAGATAGGGACTATTTGTGAAAATGACATCACTGAACTGATCAGATGCCGGTAGCACGACACAACTCTCAGCATGGAGTGCCAGTCCAGTTGATGTTGTCTTGTAGACATTCTTGGTTTAAATTCAAACTATGTTGAAGGTTTTCACCTTCTTCTATTGACAAATATAGATGAAAAAACAGAATCATGCCCCCTTGCTGCTACAAATCTCATGATGATTTTAAGTTTTATAGCTCTTCTTTGCAGCATTTGAGAGGTGGCAGATCGTCAAATCCTCCTGAAAGTCACAACCATTTGGAAATCTAAAGCCATTTAAACAATCCCAACCTGCAACACCAAGGACAGATACACTGAGTGGCTAGCATTAACTCCTTCCTCGTTCCATCCTGAACTCTCTGACTGCACGTATGACCTGCCAGACGAAATATCATTCAGGTGCTGGTTCTTCAAAACACATACATCTAAAACTTGTTTTCCTTTTCAGTGACTGAATTCTTCTTCATCCCCTGCATACCAAATGGAAGTTTCAACCCACCTATTCTACTCCCACTCCTTTTGTGGTATGTATAACAGGTGCCAGAGCTTCATAGGCAATAAGTTCATTTGATGGTTCGTTGTAAGGCCATAAGTATACTTATGCCAGTTATCTTTTCTGCAGGAAAAAACCAACTCCTTCCTCAAAGGGTAGTAGTACAGGACTTCAATCTCTCCTTCAGTCCTTTACACTTCCTGTAAGAAGCTAATGAAAGGGGAAAGATAACACCTACATCAGGTTATGAGGTTTGTCCTATTCACCATCATTCCACAAAGAATGGCACTGAGACTCCATTTCACATGGCAGAGTGGATCAGACATTCAGTTATTTCTGGTTTTTTGCTGGTTTGGAACAGATAGCCCACAAGATAGAAGGCTCTACCCCACTGGTCTCTCTGGTCTCAAGATGGACTAAAAAGGGTACACCAAATCAAGGAGGAACACAGAAAAAAATTATAGATGGCAGCACTACAGTAACTCACTCCATAGTGGCAACTCACCAGAGCTCCAGTATAGGTGGGATTTGAAGCATCATCCTCCAGAAAACGGGACAAACCAAAGTCTGACACCTTGCACACAAGGTTACTGTTGACTAAGATGTTACGTGCTGCCAGGTCACGATGCACATAGTTCATATCTGAAAGGTAGCGCATGCCAGCTGCAATCCCCCGTAGCATTCCCACCAGCTGTAACACACTGAACTGTCCCTCCTTCTGCTGCAAGTGAGGAGGCAAACATAGGCTTTTATGACCACAGAAGCCAACGGGAAGACTAACAAAGAGCAAGGTAACAAGGTTGATTTATGAAGTCAGAGAACATACATCTTAACTTCAGCCAAAATCTGAAGGTTCAGGGACAGCAAGTAAGAAAGGAGGGTGGGCTTAAGGCAATGAATCTCAAATGAAGTCAGACACTGGTGATCTTTTTCTGAAGACAAATCTCATCTTGTGGCCATATCCTCCTTTAGCATCCTATGCCTAGTCTCATTAACTACTAAGATGGCTAAATGAATGGGAGCAGACAAATCTGCTCTTACTGGTTTAAGATCTTTATAATGGGTTCTATGCAATTCTACACAATGGGTTGACGTGATCTTCAAAATGTACCTGCCAAAGCATTTGTAGTTGAATTAGAATCTGAATCAGTAAAAAAAGAAGTGAAGCACCTATACTACAAAAATGTCTGTATTTACGTTTCATTACTAGAAAAAAGACTGGAAACCTGAGTCCAAAAATAACTACAAGTTTCATTACTTCATTACAATGTTGAAACTTGAAAACATTCAGTGGCATAAAGTCTGAAAAACATTATTAGAAAGGCAAACTTTGGAGCATGCACATAAGGAACAAGAAGGCTGTGCACAAAGATAAACAATTTAGTACTGTTTACCATTAATTATTTGAGCTGGAAAGGTCTGAAATAATGAAAAAATTTGTATGATGGGTGAGCTTTTGGAATATTTTCATCATGTTGGCCCAAAACTACTTCCTCTGGTAATTTGCTATTATTTCTATTGTATCTGAAGAGGGCAACTGAGGACTTATAGAGATAGGGGTGAAGAGGAAGGACAGGCAAAATTATCAGATCTGAGACTGGCACACAGCAAGATGAAGAGGTAACGGTTGTGGGAGACTCTGGTTGTGGTACCCTGAGGAAGGAATCCAGTGATCCATTCTCCATGAACTCTGTGACAATCATGACTGGTCGGCTCTTGGTGACTACACCCTCCAGATGGATGACATTGGGATGCTCAAATTGCCCCATGATGCTGGCCTCGCTCAGGAACTCCCGCCGCTGTTCATCTGTGTAACCTGACTTCAAGGTCTTAATAGCTACTGTGTATTCACGCTTCCCTGGGTGTTTTAGGCGCCCAAAGCACACCTCTCCAAACTCTCCTGTCAGGGAGGGAAGAAACACACCTCAAGTAAGGAAACACAGCAAAGAATTTTAGTCAGGTGCACTAAAACATTCTACTATGGAAGACTCCAGGTGCCGCTTGGAAATAGGGTTACTAAGACTGTTTGGATTAAGGTAAAGTTCTTGATGAAGGCTCTGAATTCAGTCAGGTTGGAGACTACATCTTCAGGGTTCAAATGAGAAGCTCTTAGTCTTCAAAGGGTGTTTTAAACTTGGTTTGGAGCCAGCATCTAAGGATAAGTAGGTTAAGATGAATTTTGGTAAAAATGAAGGTTAGCTATCCTGAGACACTTGATGTACCACGGTTGGGTCCATTTCAGGCCAGTAGTGTGTCAAGTCTCAAGGTGAACAAGGCACTTCAAAATCTGCAGGTTCTCACACTACCTGATCCAATGACCTCCTCAATCTTGATGAAGGACACATCAATCTCCTTGGCAAATTCTCGAATAGCTTCATTGGGATCTTCATAGGTCGAAGGATCAATGTAATACTTCACTCCAAGTCCTGCAGTGGAGGAGACAGCCCAAAACATCACCAGAATCAAATCCTGAGAGACATGGGTGTTAATGAGTCCTGAAAAGAGACAGGCCCTTGCCATCTGTTGCTCAAGAACACTTACCTCGTGCACTGATATACTGCTGCAGGCGGTCTGTATATGGAGTCTCTCGCCTTTTACTGCAGGACATAAAGGAAAGGAAAGTCAAAACACACACAAGAGTCTCTCATAGGATATTGGGGTAGGCTCTCAATGCAAGACTTAGAGAAGCCTTGAATTTAGAGATAGAAGATGGGTGTTAAGATCCTGCCCATTTCTTGGTAACCAGCAGGTGCTTGTTTTCTATGTGGTAGTTTTTACACCACTGTTTGCATCCCCACTTTAGATATGACAAAAGATAGGGCCTCCAGCACTATCCTAAAAAAAAAAATTTAGTTTAACATTATTGTCTTGGAAGTTTTCTTGCTGTTCAGGCTAAATTTGCATTTTAATTTCATTTAATTACTATAAATGATTCTTTTCAATACTAATCTAAGCCATCTCCTGTGATGCCTTTTAAGTTCTTCAAAAACATTCTAAGAGTCATTTACTCTAATGCTTAATTGGTATAAATTTCCCCCAAAGATTAATTCTTCTTTATTTTTCCTCCTGGTCTCTTAAAAACATTTACTTTGACTATTCTTTTCGTAAGTATGGTACCAAAACAAACCACACAGAGCCAGATGGACAGAAAAATCTGTTCCATGATGTGATTTTTGCATGTGCAGGTCAAAACAGGTATGGTCTTTATTATTGTAATATTTATTGCATATATGCATCTAATTTCCAGTAAGCATAGGTCCTTCCCAGCACAGGCGTTTCTCAGATTTCATTCTCCCCTTAAATGTGTGTGATTCAAGCAATTTTTTCCCACATGACCTAGTTGTTATTTTTGGTTTGCTCTAAATATATTTTCCATTTTCAAGTCACTTCCTTTGCTCCCAACAGTGTTCATTTTTTCTTTCCCCAAAAATGTACAATTCATGCTAGTTTACAATCTTTTCTAAATCATATGAATTAGACCAGGCTGTAAATCAAAGCCTATGGTATCCTGTAGTATCCCTGCTGTATGCATGGATTTGTGTCAACTCATATGCTTTGCTGTTTCAGTACAAGACCTTCTAGCTGCTGATTCAGTTAGCATCTGAAGACAGAGTATCATTATGTTACTTTTCTTTACTAACATAACTAATTCTGTCATTCTAACAGGAAACTTCGTGTCTTACTCTTACTTGTCAGGCTTATCTCTTTAAATTCTGCTAAGATTGCAAAAACACAGTATTTCTACCTTCAAAATCTGTTCTTTCTGCTGTGGAAAGAAATTGGCTTTACTGGAGGCCTGTACCTAAGATCTCTAACTCTGCTATTGCATCTGAAAGGTCTACACTCATGTTTTTTATAGGTTATCTGACATACTAATGGTTTTCCATCATTAAAAAAAACCAACTAGCTCAAATAGGTAAGTGTTTCACATTGTATATTGCCTGGACAATGCGTACAATTTACAAAAATAAGTTAAAATTATAGCATCTGACTCTACGTATATTCAACCTTTTAAAAAACTCCTCATTTCATGTGGTGTTCCTCATTTACTACACCTTCAAACTGACTTTTCTTACCAAGAACAAATTTAAAATAGAAATTTGGTATCTCCACTTTTCCTTAACCAATGTCTATTAATTGCACATGATCCTTCAAGTATAAAAGAATCCATTTTTTATGATCATTCCTTTTACGTAGATACATTTACAGAAACCCATTAATGTCTTTCCCCAACACAGTTCTGGTAATACTAATTTATTCTGGGTTTGGTTTATTTTTTTAGAAAAATATATGCTTTATTGAGTTGTGCACATAATATCACATTTCCAGCTGTAACAAGAGGTTATATTTTTAACAGTTCAAAGCTACAAAAGGAGGCAACAATGCAAATATAACAATATTTGATAACTCTTTTCTTTCCAGAAAGAAAAATACTAAAAGAGAATATACACAGAAGGAGAAAACAAATGTAGAAAAGGGAAGAGAACAAAAAAGAACTAAAACTAGATGTCACTTTCTAAAGTTAAGTAGTTTATACATTTTTTTCAGATCAGCAGAAAAAGCTAAAAAGTCTCTCTTGTGCAGGGGCAGAGTAGAGCAAAGATACAGAAATCCATTACTGACAATCTAGGGGATTAAGTTCAAACCTCAGTAAATTCAAGGAGCGGGTGATGACTGTTTCTCTTCTTCAAATAACAAAACCCCCATTGTTTACTTTTGTACCTTTACACACCTCTGCTAGCAACCCGACCCTTACTTTTCTCTCTTTCTTTTTAAAATTTCTGTCCTTCTTTTTTGCCATAACAGATTATCTCCACATTGACTTATCTGCCCTTTTTTCTTCCCAAAATGGGAAGTGGTATTTGCTTTCTTTAACCTATATTTTATAAGTCAGTGTTTCATGGAACCATTGGGGTTGTACAGCTTTTATTCTTCAGGAAATGAGCTATTGTCTCTTGGTCCTTGGTTAAAGAGTATTTAGCACCTTCTAAATCAGTGGATCTAAATAGTTATTCCACCAGTCCTTCTTCACTACATTGTTTAATTCTCCACTTGCTTGCCTAAAATGCAATTTACAGTCCCTTCTTTACAGTGATGCATTTAAATACCTTTTAAGCACCAGTTTTAAAATGCTTCCCTTGTGTTCTTCTTGCTAACTAGCCAAATATCAGCTAAGTATTTGAGCGGGTTACCAAAGGAGAGGCTCCTCAGATAGGAGCAATGGAGCAAGATCTTTCCTTAATTAGAAAATGGCATCTCAAGGATATCTGGATAAATGTAGATCAGGCTGTTTCCCTTGGGACAGGGTAGGAAAGTTCCACTGTCTGCAGTGCAGGCACTGGCACATGAGCAGGTCAAGGAATTCACCTCTTGAAGATGATGGCAAGGGTGGCAATGGCAGCAATTACCAAGAAGGCTAGACCACCAAGCGCTGAGCCCACGATAAGCGGCAGTCGATCCTGCACCATCTCCGAGCGCTCCCCTAGCAAGGAAGACACATGCATACACACACAGAAATGCAGAGGACAGGAACTGTTAGAGTTTCCCTTCTACTCAGCTAGGTCTCGCCCATAATTCCATCCCTACCAGCCCTTTGCTTCCCAGTCCTGACAGTTCAACAAATGCTTGACTTGGTTATCCCTTTACCCCTTCAGTCACTGTGCTTCTCCAGTGCCTTCCTTCCTACTTCTGAAAAGCCAGTGTTCCCTCTGAATCCACTTTTTCTTCCCCTGGTCCACTGACACCTGACTAGCCACTTAAGTATAGGCTAGGTCTACACTTGGGCTTTGATCCCATTGTCCCCTATTAATTTATCTTGTAGATGACATACATGAGTACCTTTGATCCAGACCAAAGAGTATCACAGGGTAATATGTTACTCTCTGCATGAATGGATGGTGATACTGCTGGAAGGCAAGCTTCTGTGTATATGTCCTGTGTCCCAACTGTCTTTAAGACTTTCACAGAGCATTCAGCTGTAAGATGCCCTGTGACAGCTGGAGACCAAACTATAGCAGTGTATAGTGCTATGTACTGTAACACCCTCCTAAAGAGAGTTCTGCTGACACACTCTGCTCCTGCTGGTCAAAGGCAACAAGGCATGGGACTGGGGAATATGGCGGTAGCAAAGGCTAAGGGAGTGTAAACAATATGCTCTGACAGCATGAAGCTTCTTTGAGTGAACAAATCTGCATATGCAAATTATGATATACAGAAATACAAATTGAGTAGGAGTGTCTGATAAGTCACTCCAGAGGATAAGCTAATACACTCAGGGACACACACAAGTGAAAGATGGTCATGTGCGATCTGAGTACAAAATGGTAGCACTTACCTCCCATTAAAGTCTGGAAATACATCTTTCCACTATATGGGCCATAGCCCACTGCTGTTCTAGCTCGTACTTGGAAGGCATAGATCTTGCCTGGGCTCAGATTTGATATGGTGGCCATGTTGGTTTCGCTAGTCAAGGTGAATGAATTATCCTCATCTTCTCCCTGTGAATGTTAGTGACCAAAAAGGAATGGGAGACTTCTGCCCACACTGCTGGCTCTCCTTTTCAAGGAACGCTAGTTCCATGTCAGCCCAATATTCTTTCAATCTGTTACAGAGCCTCCCAGCCACAACTGCTATTCCAGATCTAACTTCCTCACACACTACTCGTTGCTCCTCACTGCTGCTTTTCATTCCCTTAGGCCTGGACTTCCCTGCCAAGACCCTCAGTCCTGACCTAAACAAAAGGGAGAGACAAAACCACCTTGTCTTGTGGTTCCTTGCTAAGCATATCCATAAAAAAAGCCCTGGCCTGTCCTGAAATTTTGCTTCCTACAAGGTCCAAACTCATGTATTCTCCTAGGAGAATCCAGAGCAAGAACACCTGTAATGCTGTATCCAGGAAGCTCCTAGACATGTTATTACAAATAGCAGGCCCCTTTACTGCTAGAAAAACAGTAGCCCTACACAATCCTGCAAAACTATTTATGTGAAAGATCAAGAATATAGAATGGGAGCTTGTCTGAACAGCCCTACGTACCTCTTCCCCTCAAATCAGTTGGATTAGGAGTCATGAAAGATGTGAATGGAGAACAGCTTCATATTTGCCACCCTGTAATTCCAGCACATAAACAGGTAACTGATATCTGCCACTTAGTGAATGAAAGAGTGCGTTCCTCCTCCCAAAATTTCTTCGAGATGTCTGTCCATGAATAACAGGGACACAGGACTTCCCTCCAGAAACATATGACAGAATGTTGCAGTGAGTCCAATTCCCATATACACATTTGAAAACTTTAGCTCCTTCCACTGTTACCTGTGTCAGCTAGTGCTAAACATTAGGTTGTTAGCCACAGCTTTTTAGCTTAGCTACAAGTGTCTTCTCTTTTTTAATCTGCATCATCCCTAGATGGTTCCAAGTTGGGAAATGCAGATGGACTTATGTTAGATGAAGTGTATATTATGAAGGTCTGGTTTTGCTACAGCTTGTTCTTCCCTCATAATTGAAGCATTCTTCTCCACTTTATTCATCCTGATCCAGGGATGCATCTCCCAGACAGAGGATTTCCCTGTTCTCTTTTGCATAACAGCCATACAACAATCAGCACTGCATCACTTTCTGCTCACCTTGTCAAAGTAGCGTAGCTGGTAATCCAGGATGATCCCATTGGGCTGGTCTGGCTGAGGCCATGACAGTGTGATGCTACTGGTAGTACGACTCACCTGATGCATCATAGGGACAGCAGAGGGGACTGGAATAAAAGAGAGGAAGGAGAGATTGCAAAGGCATAAGCTTAACAATTAACTGTAATTGAATATTTATTATGAAGAGTTAATAAGTTAGGTCAGCTCTTCCTTAATTTGTATTATGAAGTACTTCATAAAATAACCAGAAGAAATCCACGCAAAATTCTACTCTACTGGGAGATACAGTCACTGATGACTTGTACAGAAAGAAAATGAAGAAATCCACATCCAACTGATCATGCACAGGAATTATGAAATTATCTATATTGTAGCTGGAATATCTGATCTTCAAATTTGCGATTTTTACATGCAAGATGACAAGGTGTTCAGTGCCACTGCCTTGTTCTAGGATCACGCTTGGACAAACAATGTGATAGTGGTCAGAGCAAAAGCAGAGCACACCACCTGTCTTCTGCTTCTCCCCCAGATTATAATTCTTTGCCTGGGGAAAAAAATCAAGTATGGGCTATCAGAGTAATGGAGGCCTTTCACTACCAGATCACTTTGCACACCAGAAGACAGAGGCAGATGAGAACACTGACGCATTAAAGAACAGACTTTGAAGCATTCCTCAGTTCAGTAGTCCCAGTTCAGTTGCAGATCATAGAGAATGAAAGCATCTCATTTTCATAGCCTGATACAGAATCATAGAATAGTTTAGGTTAGAAAAGACCTCTAAGATCATCAAGTCCAACCGTTAACCTAACACTGCCAAGTCCACCACTAAACGATGTCCTTAAGCACCACATCTATATGTCTTTTAAATACCTCTGGGGATGGTGACGCAACCTGGGCAGCCTGTTCCAAGGCTTGACCACCCTTTCCGTGAAGAAATTTTTCCTAATATCCAATCTAAACCTCTCCTGGAGCAACTTGAGGCCTTTATCTCTTGTCCTATCTCTTGTTACTTGGCAGAAGAGACTGACACTGACCTCACTGCAACCTCCTTTCAGCTAGTTATAGAGAGTGATAAGGTCTCCCTTAAGCCTCCTCTTCTCCAGACTAAATAACCCCAGTTCCCTCAGCCGCTCCTCATAAGACTTGTGCTCTAGATCCTTCACCAGTTTTGTTGCCCTTCTTTGGACATGCTCCAGCACCTCAATGTCCTTCTTGTAGTGAGGGGCCCAAAACTGAACACAGTATTCGAGGTGCAGCCTCACCAGTGCCCAGTACAGGGGCACAATCACTTCCTTAGTCCTCCTGGCCACATTATTTCTGATACAGGCCAGGATGCTATTGGCCTTCTTGGCCACCTGGGCACACTGTCGGCTCATGTTCAGCCGGCTGTCAACCAACACCCCCAGGTCCTTTTCAGCCGGGCAGCTTTCCAGCCACTCTTCCCCAAGCCTGTAGCATTTAATGGGGTTGTTGTGACCCAAGGGCAGGACTGGGCACTTGGCCTTGTTGAATCTCATACAATTGGCCTCGGCCCATTGATCCAGTCTGTCCGGATCCCTCTGTAGAGCAGACTTGTGTTCAGACTAGCTCCTGGATCTCGGGCCAATCCCTGTCAGGACTGTTGCCCAGATGTCAAAACTAACACTGTACTTGAGACTCTCAGCCCCTCTGCGGGCCATTGAACCACAGAAGTCCAGGCTGAATGGGCTTCTAATCAGCACTACTGCCTGGAATCACCACCCCAAGGTCACAGTTAAGTGTGTATTTGTGGAAGCTTCACATACAGGTTTTCTATCTGTTCTTACATAGCTTGCTAAGTTTTTGTCTTTTGGTGGACAGGCCAGCCTGGCATATAACCCAGACAGAGCTGTTAGCTCTCTTGATTCCATTATAGTATTAAGTGCTTATAGTCTGTATCAGATATTAATTACTGTGAGAAAATGTCAACTTCCCTTTATGTACGAAGCAAGGATCTGGACATCAAACATAAAAGAGGGCTTTTATGAATCTAAAACAGAAAGCAAGCAAGAACTTGTGTCTACCAATTTTAGAAATCTTTTGATCGGCTATTCTAAAAGTCTGAAGTTCAGTTCAAGGCTTTGAGACTTGTGTAATTGCCATTACTTCTCACTAGCCTGAAACTCATTAAATCAGTAGGAAGGAAACAAAATATTACCTTGAAGATAGTATGATTAATGATTTCAAACACTGTTCATTAAACTAAAATTAGATTACAATGAGAAACAATCCAAGCTACTATTTGGGGTAGTTTTGCTTTTCATTTTTTTGTCCTCCTAGAGGCACCATTCACATGTTCTGAGACAACAGAAGTACAGAACATCTGTTTATAGCAGGCCCTTTCCTGAAGTAGTTAGTTCTTCTAAAAAATGTCCTCAGAGCAGGAAGGGAGATGAATGGTTGTTAAAGCCACTTGCACGTGAAGCTTTCTGGAGAATGAAAATCCATTTCTACAAAAAACATCCATGAATTTAGACGTAGACACACACACACACACACACACTCTCCAAGTTTGTGCAAAAGCTAAAAGAATATCAGTTTCTTCTTAGGAAGAGATTTCCAAGCAAAAATTTCAGGATAATTGGAAGACAATCTTTTAGCCTGCCAGCTGTCTGTCCACAAAGCTCTTCTCAAGTTTTGCTTTCTCTCTGCAAGAAAAATGTCATGTTGCCAAGAAACCTCCAGGTAGGCAGCTAGGGAACCCTCATTTTCTGAATGGAAGTAACATTTTCAGCACCATTTAAATTTTCCAGAAAAAGCATGCCAATGAAAAGTTGCGACCTAAGTTCCCCGGTTTTACACAATAGACATAAACTTCCTTGATGTGAGGAATGAAGCAGAGACGTTTGGCAAATGATCAAAAACTGCAGAATAGCATTTTCTTCCCTCATAATTGTGAAAAAGATAAAAGGATTGTTTCTAATAACAAGATACAATTATTCTGAAAGACACAATTCAAATGGGCTCCAAACAGCTCAGGCAAGTGGGAACCAGTTAAAAATGTAAATTAAACAAAAATGTAAGAGTATAAACAATAAAATGCTTTCTCTCATCCTTACTCCTTTTATTTCTTACAATTGCTTGTCTTTCAAACAAGATTGCACAACTACTTCACCTGCTAATGACAATGTTGCAAGAAGGATGGAAGACGGTAGCAATTAACCAAAACCATATTTAAGAACACTGTATTCAAATGATAACATGAGGAGAATGGGCTAACTGGTCAGTTAACATTTGATCAAGACAGATTCTGCTATATTTTAATGTTGTGAAAAGGTTAACTTCCTCCTGATGGGACATAAAGCACACACAGGGAGAGGTGCAAACCTAAATACACAGTTACACTGCCAGGGAAGAGCCCACTTCCTTCTAGTTTCAAATGAAGATTTTGTAGAATGATCAGAATTAGTTCTCCCCTCCATTCCTGCCCTTCCACCTCTTTTCATTCCTCTCCTTCCCACTCCCAGCAGTTATTCTCCCCACCCTTCTCATTTCTTCCCAATACACAATTTTTCCCCTACCTGGAAGGAATACTCAAAGTCAACTAGCAACATTTGACCTGTATTTTAGTTAAAACTTATCCATTCTGATGTTAATATGTACTATCAATTTTCAGCTACTCATCAACAGGTTATCTTTTGCCAACAGTACTGCTACTGTGCATAGTACATTTAGGCACAGCAAAATCTGCACCAGAACAATGATGATAAATGGTACTCTACTCAGATGGGCAGTATGCAGAAGCAGATTACAACTTGTGGAATTAGAAGTATTGGGAAACATAAGAAAAAAATCACTGGAGTTACACTGTGTGTATCTCTTGACCATGTGCCATGGCATTCTAAATGTCCCTATTAAGCAGGTATGTCCATCACTCAGGGTAATCGGGTGGTGGTGGTGGGGATGCCCAGGATAATGCAGTCTGCTGTATTAAAAATACTCATTTCAGTGATATGTACCTAATAAGCAGATACTACTTAAGGCAAAAGCCTAAACCAGTAAAAATGCTCAGTAATAAAAATAGCTATGAATCAACGCAAGACAGGTTGTCTTTAATCTACCTCTTTGAGACAGAGTTCAGGTTTTGATACATGTGTTTGCCTCTCTTTTAAGGACAAAACTTAGGAAACGCTGGCCAGGGAGCTCTCCCACCACTTCAAGTAAAAGAGATATCTAGATCTCTCCTTTGAAATATTTCATACTAAGGTGATGTGAATACTAATACTAAGGTGATGTTAAAGTGAATGTATTTGTCGGTGGAATAAGTACATATTTCCTGTCAGAAGTGTATGATAAAGTTACTCTCCCAGTGTTAATAAATTAGGAAATATAAAATTCAAGGTTTTATGTCTTAAGACAACACCCAAACTACCCTACCTCTGCTGCCACAGAAGTGCTAGATGAGTATTTTCCTTTATATGCATGCCGCCTATTAAAAATGTTTATAACAGAACATTGCTTTCAAAGCTTGTTTCATACATACAAGAGTCCAGTTCTATGTTGATTTGTCACTTTTATTCATTTTGCTCTTTTCTCATGGGGTTTATAAATGGAGACATGCTAGAGCTGTGTCCAACAACAGCTGAAATCACAGGGCCTGATGCAATCCAATCTGGGCATTTGGAATAGATGATTGTTGTAGCTCCCTTCCAACTTAACTATTATATTCTATTCTATCCTAGTCTAATTATTCACTGAGTGCAAACAACACGTTGTGAGATCAGACCTCTAAGGAAAACTGAAAAAGGACTGCTTTTTGTACACTATTTATAAAATAGCAAATGTATGGGAAATTCTTGCACCTTATTAAAGCTGTAAAGCAGTCCAAACACCAGTTAAATAAAGCTCCCAGATATTATTTTTTGTGGGCTGTCAGTTGCAACTCTTTTACATGGCAGGACAAATTTTTTCCTGGTAGCACACAGGGGTGGATTTAAGATATTTTGAGTACCTTGAAAATGCTACATTCTCTGAATTACTGATGTTTGACAAGTTTCTGCTGTTTTCTAATAAAGCTGATGTCCTTGACTGTAGTATCTGCTCAGACCAGCAATACATGCCTGCAAGCCTAAAAATCTACCTAAATCAA